GTTTCCAGCTTTTAATTCCTACGGTCCTCTTCTAGCCCCACTTCCGAGGTGAAGAGATGGCAGGACAGGGAGAGAAAGTGTATTACCCAAGGTCACCCCGCGAGGAGGAGGCAGGGCAGGGATTTGAACACTGCTCTTCCAATTCCCGGGCCAACTTTGCCCCATTGCAGGTTCCTAGGCCTCGGTTTTTATGTGTGTGGAGTGAGGTGCTGGGCACTGAGGACGGGATTTAATGGTTGCCAGTGCGTCGTGAGTCCCCTGGGGCCTGCCGTCTGAGCACCGGACGCTCCTCTGCCTTCCCTACGCCTGAGGAGCTAAGAGTGGCAATAAACAGGCGCGCGTGTGGGCTCCGTCTCGCCATCACGTAAAGACACTGTTCCTGGGCTTGGCTGGGAGCTCAGCAGCGGATCGGGATGTCTCAAGTCACTCGGAATTGGGAGCTGTTCTTCTTCCCCTTCGCTGGCTTGCGCATGGACCACAGGCAGAGGGTCGATTCCCATAGCTTCAGCCTGGCCCACCACCCCCGGCCCTGCATCCTGAGATGCATCCCCTCTGTCCTCAGGATCAGGACGCCCAAGCCCAGCCCCATTGCCTGACCTGGCTTCCCCCCACCACCACCTCGCCCCATGACAAGCAGCACAGTCCCGGCAGCCCCTCTCCCTCAGCTGTAGCCCCACTGCCAAGCCCAGTTAAAGCCTCCCCTCGCCTCCCTCCCCAGACGGAAGCTGAAATGCAAGTGTCAGCAGGTCTGTCTTTGCCCATGTCAGAGCTGCCCCTTCAACGCAGCCATGCAAAGGCACCGAGCTCCTCTGTGCCCAGAGACTGGTGTGCAGGACGCAGCCCCTGCCGGGGTGAAAACAACCTTGAATTGACTCCAATTGCAAAGAGCAGCAGGGGCCCCGCTCCGCTGACAAGCTCCGTACATGTCACCAGGCCGAGGCGTGGCGTGCCTCGTGTCTGCTCCACGAATGGCCCTGGTGCAGGTGGTCTTTCGCCAGCTTTGCTCCCGTTCTCGGGAGGTCGCTGGGAGATGGCGGGAATGAGGATAGCACTGCAGAGGAAAAGATGGGGTGGCCAGATGCGGGCTCTCAAATGGGATTGCCCTGGAAATGTGTCTCAGTGGGTTCTAGGGTCGTCCAGCATCTTCATGTATTCCACACTTACCTGGAGACCTCAGGAGCCGGCGGGAAGCCAGCGAGCAGCGGAGACGGGAGCTGCAGGGTTTAGGCAGTAGGTGTGAACGCAAACTGTGATATTTCAGCAGACCTCAGATTCAGTCATAAACGGGGGAACAGGGAGGGGGAACAACACGCAATAAATATTGTTCCAACAGCAATATTATCAGTATGGTAATAACTCAGTTATTGCGAGTTGTCAGATGCCAGGGAATGTGCTGGGAACTTCACGGACACAATTGCACTTAATTTTCAGAAAAACCTGGGAGTCAGGTAGTATCATGATCTCCGTGCAGGGGAGGAAACTGAGGAGGAGGTTAAGGCACTTGCTGCAAGATCATTGACCTGGAAAAGGGCCCTCGAGCCCAAACCCAAGCCCAAAGTGCTTAAATCCCTGCTGCCGCTGAGCAGCCTCTGGGATTGACTTCCCATCCAGGGAGCTGCACTGTTTGCAAAGAGCACTTCCTCGCTCTTCCTCTTCCCTTAGTTCATCTTTGCCAGCTCTGGGAGGCGCCCTAGCTGTGCTTGATGACTGCTGGAGCCGAAGTGCAGAGACTTGCATTTGTTCCTGGGCAGCTCCGTTGCAGGGGTCGGGTTCAAACAGAGGTGTCCAACCGATAACAGCACATTGTGAACTGGACTTGAAATCCGTTGA